GAGTCACTGTTGTTTAAGCATGCCTGGTTGTTAGGTGACTTGCTTCTCCATTTGTTGCTGATTTAATCAATTTTACCTGAGCAATTAATCTTTTTGGTTGACCATAGTTCTGTCCCACCTTGTATCTACCTTGTGAGTTCCCATTTTGGACCCATCTCACTTCATCATTTTGCTCTACAAAAGTCCTTAGAAAAGACAGTCTTTGGCAACCCACTCGGGGCCCCTTCTGTCTCTCTCTGAGACAGAAGCTTTCTCTCAATAAATATATTCTGCTGTTAACCTCTGTCGTTCCTAAAATTAATTCTTTGATTTTGGAGGATACTAATTCATGCCAGATATAAGTTAGGGAATTTTGTTCCCTTATATCACTACTAATCTGTTTTGAAACTCGGTTTCATTGTTTGTCTTTTTTTCTCCTTAAATAAAAATAAAACGCAAAAACCTGAGGACACCAAGAAAAGAGATTTGCATGGATATTTAAAGGGCAGTTTTTGTAATATCTGCTCCAGGCCATGTGGAATGGACACCTCAAAGACTCTAGTCATTGCCCTCAACTTGCAGTTGCCTTGGATTCTAGCACATTCTTCACAGAACTGAAGCTACTCCCACCAAAGACGAGCAATCATCTCATAGGAATCAAATTGTCCCCTCAAGTGATAAAGACTTCTCCAGAGACGTCTTGTAAAACCAGAGCCAAGAAAATGGTCAATCAGACTCTAGCCCACTCCATAGACTCTGTGAAAACTTGCCCCTTTCCTCTGTAACAGGCCAGGCTAAGCTCCTTCATTGGAGCTGTGCCATCTTCAACTTTTCTTTTCCTCATGCTGAAGTCCCACACTTTTCTCCTTCTCAAAGCTTTTTCCTGTAAACTTAGGTTTTTGCCTCAGTTTTAATTTCTATTAACATGGAAGTAAGTTCCCACATGCAATCTGCTGTCATCCTGGTGGACATTTCTGAATTTTGGAGTGCCTGAGTCCAAGCAAGCTAGGGGTGGTAGAAGAATAAGTAAATCTAAATTTAGTAAATATTTTGAATCATAATTTTCCCTAATCACCTGCTACTACTTACGTTTCATTGTCTTCAAATAGAAACTCCATGCAGCCTTTCCAAGACCGTTTTATAGTTTTGTAACTACATTTAGTGGGAGAGACAGGGTAAGATTTGCTTAATCAACTGCAAGTTTTCTTCAGAGATACAGAATCAATAGCATGTGTGTATCTGCATGCATGTATATACAAGTATAGAGATGCAGATTTAAGATAAAAATTAGCTTACATGATCAGGGAAGCTGAGAAGTATCAAGATCTGCTAGAGAGTATGAGTGGCCACATGGTGTTCTGATCTGAAAGCCAGCAGACTCAAGGGCAAAAACACTTATATTGGCGATTTAGGTCAGCAGCATAAGCACCTGCCTTGCAAGTGTGTGCACAGTCATGAGTTTGAGCCCCAGTACCGATTTAAAAACAAAACAAAAACCTATGTTTCAGTTTCAGTCTGAAGGCCAGAAAAGTCATATCACAGTGCAAATCACTTAGAAAAAAAAGAATTTCCTCTTCAGGAATATTCAATTTTTTAATTCTATTGAGCTTTTAACTGATCAGGACCACCCACGCCAAAAATAACAAACCCCTTTACTTAGTCTACCAATTCATATGTTAATCTTATCTAAAATCATCCTCACAGATATAACCAGAAGAGTATTTGACTGAATATTCAGCCATTTAGTGGGCGAGTGAAGTAAACACATAAAAATATATCTTTTTTATACAGAGAAAGAATTTTATGTTCTGTTTTCAGTTTTGGAATATCTTGTGGTAAATTACAGATTATAAATATCTTCCTTTTTTTTTTTTGGTGCCAAGGATGGAACTCACGACCTCACTTTTGCCAAACAGGCACTTATACTGCTGAGCTAAACCCCCGGCCTCAAATATCTACATATTGTGGCACCTAATTTTGAAAATGCCTTAGAAATATCCTTAACATTCTACATCATTCTAAAATGGTTTTAGAATGTGATTTATGAACTCTTCATATCAAGCTCATATCAGATGTGATTTATCCTTTTATGACCACTCTAGCTTCTAGGCATGTAGTATTTTTAGAAAGTACTGTAAGATTGGCAATAAAACTAGTTAAGAAGCTACTGCACAAGTCCATGTGAAAGATGATATACTTTAAGCAATCTGTTATGGTGATAGACATGAATAGTTGCATTGAGTTGAGTAGTACAGATTACTACAAATCAAGAATCAGGGCCCAGGGGACTGAATTCCAGTGCTTTGCCTCTTGTAGAATATCATAGCCATTGGAAGGAATAGTGGGTTGCTATTATGGAATGGTCATCAGAATACTTTGTATGGCAAACAAGGTACACGATGGAGTATGTAACACTACCGTTTGTGCACAACATGGGGAAAGAGGTTTTACATACATGCTTGATTATAAAGACGTGGATATCTATGAAAGGGTACAACAGAAAACATAGCAGTGTCTATGAGAAAAACTAGTCATAGTACAGAGTCCTCTATTGTTTGAATGTTTTACATTTTCAATGCATTCACTTAAATTTTTTAAATAATTTAAGATCAGTGGCTTTCCACTGCCTAAATTAAGTTCAGTGAGTCACAGAGCTTACAGAGAATATAGTCCCATCCTTGTCTCTTGTCAGACCCACTTGTAACTTTAGTCGTGTAGCACCCTAGGCTCTGGGTTTTTCATTCTCTGCTCTTTATGCAGATTTCTACCTTTTTCACTTTTGTCCATTTATAATTCTGCTGATCACTGCTTCCCAAACTTGGGATGTCTTTTCTATTTCTTCAATAATATATAATAACCTCCATTTTCATTCTAAATATGCTGTCTGCTTAGAATCTATGCAATTACAGTTTCCTCTGCCTGAGATGCTCAACCAGATTTCTGCATGTTCTCTCACTTCCCTCAGTTCTTTGCATGTCTTACATTATAAAGCTATGTCAATACCAAATCACTTTCTAGCCTTTTTCTGTTTTTCTTCACTCATCATGTCCACATGTTTTTTGTTGCTCATTTATGTTTGTCTTCCTAATACAAATTCTTTAAAAGACAGACTTTATTTTATTTAGAAATTAAGTTAATGTGGCGATATAGCTCAGTGGCACAGTGCCTGCCTGGCAAGTGCAAGGTCATAAGTTCACTCCCCGGTACCAAAAAAAAAAAAAAAAAAAAAAAATCAATGCCTTGTGTCCAGTTTGTGCTAAATGCACTAACAAATCACAACTGAAATTTGCACATTATGTGCAAATGTGTAATATAAGACGTATCAGGACACACAAACATTAATCTATAAAAGAAATGAACACTGAAGGATTTTGTTGTTTTAGGTGCATACTGGGATGGGAATTGAACTCAGGGCCTTCATACTGAACTATTATCTCCAGCCCTTTTTAAATTTTTAAATTTCGAGATAGAGTCTCACAGATTTGTTAAATTGTCCAGCCTAGGCTCAAACACGTGATCCTCTTGCCTTAGTCTTCAAGCTCTGGAATTATAGGCATGTGTCACCATACCTGGCTAAAGTTTTCATGTGAGACAAATTAAGCATGTACTATAAGAGTAATTTCTGAGCAAATATCTCCCAGTGAACATCTTCAAAGTAGAAACCATTAGGACAACCTAATTATTACATTGATGATTATTATCTGTGACCCATTTTTCTGAAAGTTTTCTTTAGGAGATACTAAATTATTTGGAAACCTAATTATTGTCATAAAGTTGCTTAATAATCATGAATTGAAAATTGAAGAGCAGATACTATTTAAATGCATAGAGCTCTTAGCCTGATAGGTTCATCCTCCAAGGAACCCCTGTATCTGAGGTATGCCAAGCAGCTTCTCCCTGGGTATTGGGGTTCTGCCAACTTTTGCTTCCTTATTTTCCTTTTCTTGTCATTGGTTCCTATAGACTGGATCTCTTGAGCATATGTATTATCTATAGATGGGCCATGGCTCATGCACATGTATGTTGGCATTAAGATTCACATAACATGATTTCATCACTTTGTGGTAGCCTTTTATCATCTGTGTCTTTCTGAACAAAGAACTCAAAGTAAAGCAAGTGGGATCTCATAATTTTTTTTTTTAATAAAGAAGTTGATCTTTGGCCTCAGAAAGTGGGAACCAATGTCCTAGGCTGACCATCCACTTCTTTTGTGATAGTCCACCATACATGTTAAAATACAATTGACTAGGGGCTGGGGATTTACCTCAGCGGCATAAGCACCTGGCTTGCAAGCAGGCGGTCCTGAGTTTGATCCCCTGTACCGATTAAAAAAAAAACAATTGACTAGCTTTCTGCTGTCACATTTTAGCTTTAACACCACCATAATTGATGCTGTAAGCATTTCCACAGTTCTGTAGTTTTCTGATTTTCTGCCACATATTGTTAATTAACATCCACTATGGATGTGACAAGCTAGGTTACTAATTCCCTTCAGTCAGGGCTCTTGGGAATCACTAGGAGAATTAGGTTTCTGTAAGAGGAATGGCTTTTGAGGAGAAATTTAGAACAGAATTTCACAGATTTCTGAGCCTTAGGGCTTGCAGAAACAGCTAAAGCACAGCTGGCGGTCTTAATGATTGTAAGGAATAACGCCTAGAACTGATGGGGTTGCTGTAGTGTGCCAGGAGGCAGACATCATCCGTGCTGTGAGGGTTTTATTTGCCAACCCAAGGCGTCAGGACCTTTCCCTGCCAGCACCACCGAGCTTTCCAATGTTCTCAGCAGGTGAGCGGACCAACCAGATTGGCAATTTAGCGACCCATTTTAAAGTTTCTTTACCCCGCGCTTCCAACCTGCGCCCACCCACCGGCACACTTAGCGGTGGGTGGTGACGGGGTCCCCCGGGCTGCAGCGCGAGGTCCCACCGCACCGCCTGGGACACTGCTCAGAGCCCGAACCTGGGCGCAACCAGGCCGCCGATTGGACGGCTCGGGACGACCCCGCTGTATCGCGAGACGAGATTGGCAGCGCGGCGCCGCAAGTGCCCCCGCGCTGGCTTTGTACGCCGAACAGCCTGCAGGTTCTTTAACAATGGGCGGCGCGGGTGCCTGAGTGCTGCGCTGCAGCTGAGGCCGGTGCTTTGCAGCTCACTGTCCGCAGCATGAGTGGGGCCGGCATACCCTGCACGCCGGCGGGGCTGTGGCTGTGACGGCCGCGGTTCCGGGTAAGGGAGCTTCCGTGGACCGGGCAGGCCTAGACTGGGCACGAGCAGTGGGCCGCCAGGGCGAGCGCGGAGCCCGGCTGGCTTGGCCTTTTGTTCCCTCTGTGGTGCGGCGAGGCAGGGTGCGTCCCTTAGTCCCGGGAAGGAGCGAGCGCTAGGTCTGTGGCCTCCTAGCCTTTTGGTGTGGGCTTCTCCTCCCCGTCTAGCTGGAACTGGTGTCAGGTCTCCCCGCTCTTCAGGGCCGGCGGGAGGGTTCGAACTCAGGACGCCTCAAGCCGAAGGCGGGCCGGCCGCCCGTTCTGACTTTTCCACAACTTGCAGCACATCCTCACCTTAGCACGCGAGGCCCGAGTTGCGCCCCTCTTGCTAAGCGTCTAGTGGGGCAGCTCCCCAGATAAACCCGCCTCTGAAGCGGGTAGATCGGGTCTTACGTGTGGCATCTGGGAATTATTTTGGATCTGTGTCGGGCTTACGACGAGTCAGGTGAAGATGAGCGGCCACAGAAGCCGGTCGAGGTCACACCTCTCCGGGAGGGGGTGCTGAGGGTCGTGAGCGAAGTTGCTGGGCTGGGCGTGTCTTTCAGACTGAAGTTACAGCGTCTAGCCAGGCGCGCCTACGGGTCTCATGGAGCTGGAGGGGCAGTGGTGGCGAGGACAGCTGGCTGCCGACATCCACCAAGCGCTTCGGTACAAGGTAACCCTGATGCCCGACCTTCCCATTCTAGGTCTTGGCGCCAGTTAGGAATCTCAGTTCCTTGGAAAGTCTCTTCAGGTTCTTTACTATCTTCTAGACCAGAAGACTCGAGGTTTGCTTATTTGGCTAATTAATTATTAGTTCGTTCCCTAGGCATATCAGAAAAACCTGCAGCTTAAATGAGGCGATGTGTTGGGCATTTAGTTGAGAGAGGGAAAATGGACATTCCAACGTTTTTGTTTTCAAGTGGACTATAGCTTTCATCTTGTATTTAAATTACGCAGCTGTTGTAAATCGCATTTGTACATCACTCAATTCCCCAGGCTTTCCACTTAGTTGCTGTTTCTCAGTTTCTTCATCAGTAAATGAGGAATGATAGAATGTACTTAACTGAACGATGGCGAAATTTATATGTCAGTACTGTACAGCATTGTAGAATAGTGTTCTGGCATATACTCAGCCTAAATAATAACTGTTGTTACTTTCCCTTTAAAATTTGGGGCTGTTCAAAAATTAGCTTAAGGTGGAAGAAGTTAGCTATTTCTTCCTGCTAATGTTATCAGTAAAAGTTTCTGCATTTAATGGATATTGAAAAAAATATTCTTTTTGGCATAAAATCTGCATATTGTTGCTTTACATTTTACACTGCATGTCACAAGTCAGAATACTGGGACTGCTCCCATTATATATTATAATGGGACCTTTTGAAAACCAGAAGACAGACCAGATCCAAAATGATCACTAACTTAACTCAGTTTCACCTTGGATAGAGAGAGCCATTTGTTAAGTGTGGACTACAAGATTAAGAAGAAAAACAGGTGACTCTTTAGTAAAAGGAATTCTGGCCCTTGTTGAGAGATCCTGGAACGATAATAAACTTATATGTTGAGTTTCTGTCCAGGTTAAGTAGATTAAAAGATCTAATTCTGATTCACATTGTTAAAATTGTACCATTTTCTAAAGTTTCAGGTTTCCACATGCTGTTTACAATTTGTAGTCTTACACCTTATACACCTCTGGCCCTAGGAGCACTGTTTGTACTACATAAAAGTTTGAACCATGGGATGGTTTTCTAGAGAGTTAATAAAAGCTGTAGGTTTTCCACTTTGAAAATTGTCCAGACACTTTTGATTGTTTTCTTTTCAACAGATGTCTTTTTTTTTTTTTTTTTTTGGATACTGGGGATTGAACTCACAACTGCACTGCCTACAAGAAGGCAGGCGTCTTATGCTGAGCTAAATCTCCAGCCCTAGATGCTATCTTTCAGTTTGAAATGTTGTCTGTCTCTTTTTCCCTCTAGTATGTGATGAAATTGTTAATGATGCATATATTTATATATTTTTTTAAATTGAATAAAACTTAAATTTTTTTTAGTGATCTCATGGTTTTCAGTTATTTTATATGTAGATAATTTTAATCTTAAATAATTGAGTTAATTTTGTTAGTGCAGTGTAGATTTTTTTTTTTCAAGGTTAAGATTAGTTGGGTATTTTGGTGCATCAGTCTTCAGAGGATCCAAGGAATAAAACAGCTCTGCATTTAAGTTGCTTGTAAACTGTCAGAGGACAGGAAGCACAGATTCTAAATAAATGACACTGATGGTTGTTGTAGGCCACCTGTGACACTGCTCTGAGTTGTCTTTGTGTTATCTTTAAGCGTTGTGTGGACCGCACTCATGACTTGACAGAGTGGCCTCACTTTATAAAGAATTAATGTTGGTTGGTAGAACTTGAACTTGCAGAACTGGAGAGACCACTGTTTGTAGTACATTGAAATCAAGGAAGTTAGAGTAAACTTTTTTCATAAAAAGACATTACTTCCACTCTAATTAGTAATTTAATTGGATAGTCATAAATAATCACTGTGTGCAAGGTAATCTGCCAGGTGTTAGAACAGTGACAGTTTAAAAGTATCTGAATTTAGGTCTCTGAGCAGTTGCAGTTGTGTTGCTATGTAAGATATTCTATGTTTAGACTCAAGGTTTGTGGAGAAAATAATCATTAATGAGTAGCATTGTTCCTGCTAGGGGAGAATAAAAATAAAAGGATACTCCTTGACCCCAAATGCTAAATATACTGTTTTTGTAAAGTAATTTACCATTCAAAAAAACCTACAAAGCAAGAGTGTCTTCTCTATCTCTCATATTATCATTTTGCTACATTCACTAGTGTCATTGTCTGGGTGAGTATTTTTGAGAATCTTCATGAGAATTGAGAACAATTCTAGCTTTGTGAGAAGCATTAAAATACTTACTCCACAGAGTTGTGTGTAAACTTTTGAGTATTTCTTTAGGCAGTTATTTCCATCCTAGCTGGTCAGTGTTCCCCTCTCTAGGAAGGATACCTATGGCATTTGGGGTGTGAACTGATGAGGGCTTGAGGCTGGAGATGAAGATAATGTGTTCACGCTTTTCTTTATATGGGTTGCTAATGGGGAAGTAATAGGAATAAGGCTTCCATTCTGGGGATTTGAAATAAATAACAAACCTGTAGGTTGAGAGTAGTACAGTGGCGTAGTCATTGTCATGTGTGTGTAACCATAATTCCTGGATGTTATTTAAAATCCACTGATGGCCCTAGAGGTTCCTGCTACTTTTTTTCCCCCTTTTTTCTTATGCAGTATTAGGGATTAGACCAGGGCCTTACCTGTGCTAGGCATTCTACCCTTCAACTCTATTTCCTAGTCTCTGTTGCCTTTGTTTTCAGTAAAGTTGTTAGGGTTAACATCATTACAGATAAAGCCCACCAGTATTTTCCCAGTTTGTAACCTAATGAATCTGTCAAGTTCAGGCCTGTTTTTCCAGAAAACCTACCCAGCCTTTGTTTTTTTTCCAACTCTCCATCCCCTGAACTGACTTATATCATCTTCTTCAGCATTTTTATAATATCCTGTGATTATAATATTGTATTTTAATCATCTGTATATTTTTATTCTCCTACTTAAAGAGAGACTTGATTTTTTTCCAGCCACAGTATTTTCTGGGATTAGCACAGTGGCTGCTACATGGGAAATGATTATTCAGTGACTCATGATGGCAAGAAAGAAAGTTATATCCAATTTTTACACTATTGTAAAGATCTGTAGAAACAGTGAAGAAGAAAAGGCGGATCCTAGGAGCTACACAAGAAACTAGGATGTACTTTTATTGCAGAAAAATTTTCCAGTATTTATGCTTTTCTTATATAAACATTAAAAGCAAAATAGCCTGTTAACTTATTACTCAGGTAATCCCTGTTAGTATTTTTTAAACTTTACATGATACATGGACATGGTTTAAAAAAAAACACTTTAGGGGCTGGGGATTTAGCTCAGTGGCATAAGCACCTGCCTTGCAAGCAGGCAGTCGTAAGTTCAATCCCCGGTACTGGTAAAAAGGAAAAAGATTAATGAGGCTCTTCCCACCACTAGTCCCTGAAAATCAGTATATCTGCAAATACAGTATTTCATTATTGATACAGAGATTACCAACTGTATTTTTTGTTCACACCTTTCTGCTAGCCCACTCTTAATTTATTAGATTTTTGTCCATGTCAATGCATCTAGGTCTACTGCCCTCTTAAAATGCCCCATTGTGGGCTGGGGATGTAGCTCAGCTGCACAAGTGCCTGCCTGGCAAGCACAAGGTTGGTTGTTCTTTCTTTTTTTTCTTTTTTTTGATACTGGGGATCGAACTCACGACCATGTGCTTGCAAGGCAGGCGCTTATGCCACTGACCTAAATCCCTGGCCCAAGGTTGTCATTTCAATCCTGGTACAAAAATAATAATAAATAATAAAGTAAAATACCCCATTGAATTGATATCCCATAGCATATGTATTCAATTCCTGGAGACATCATGCAGATCTTTATTTTTTTTTTTAATTTTATTTAAGGAGGAAAAAAAAAGCAGAGAAAGGGTACAAGTTATACAGATTTACAGAAAAAAATAAACAGTAGGAAATCACTAGTTAATGGATTGCATATTGTCATCTTAGAAATAATTGTTCAAGTCACAAAAATTAAAGCTTGTAAAGTGGACATTCCAACAGTGAGACTGCAAACAGTTCTGTTCAATGATCCAACAAAACTCAGTGATATCATTATCTATCTTATACACTTATATATACAATGCAGTTATATCGTTTAGAGCACTTTCTTTTCCTCTCTTTTGTACAATGACAATTACCCATTTTAGGTTTTGTTGCTCCCACAGTTCTTATTACTTTTTTGGAAGGGAGTAGAACCAAATGTGACATAACAGAACAGAGTCAATCAAATCAAAAGGGTGGACATAATAGATAATGTAAAAGCATAATACAAGGTGATCAACAATAGTTACCATAATGCCTTCCGCTATCTCTAATAGAATTGCCTATATCATCAGTTATAATAAAATTGAACAAAACAGTAAAGAACAAACCGACAAAACCAAAACATTGGAGACATTATAGGTCTTCAAAAGTAGATAATAGTCAATGAGAATGGGCGTTATAATGAATCTCACTATCTTCACAGCTGTTACTTAAACTTTCGAACCTGGTACTATCAAGCAAAGCAGAATAGGGGAACATCAGTCAAAAACAAGATGGTGAGAGTAATACAGGGCTTTAAATCAAGATAATGGAAAGTCAAAGTGGGTTATAGTAAAAAAAGTAAATAATGAAGTGGAGATTGAGATAAAAGAGGGCATAACAACAAAACATAACCATTTAAGCAGAATAGTGTTTCACCACAAGATAATCCTGACATAAAAGTAGTTACCATATTGTCTCTTTCCTTGAAATCTTTGAGTATAACTTCGTATACTGTAGCATCAAATATATCAAAACAATGTAAAACCATTTAAGAGAATGACAGCATTACAGGGTATTTAGAATCAACCAACAGAAAACGAACAATGGTTTCTGTATAATCTCCTTGTCTTTAAAAGTTTTTGCTTATACTATCATACATAATAAAATCCAATAAGATACAACCTGTTTAGACCAATGGAGACAGAAGAACAAAAGCTTGATGAGACT